AAAACTATGTTGTAATAACCATACTATGATTATAAAATATACATTATTTATGAATAAAACAATTCCTTCAACATCATATAATAGAAAGGAAATACATACATAATGTGACCTGAAACTCACCATACAGAATTGAAAACCGAAACAATATAAAAAAATTTTTAAGAATAAAGTTTGTCTTCTGTGGTTGGATGACAGATTGAGCTATATGTTCGAGCTTTTTGGCTATCAGAAATATTCCCTGAGGATACCCATCCTAAACCCATGTTTTGAAAGATTGGCGCTTCCTGCTGTGGCTGCATTATTTGTCCAATACCCCAAAGTCCCAATTCATCGGCGGCAACTAATAAGTCAATCGGCTCCGGACGATTGCACTTTTCTCCAAAAATGGGGAATCCTGTAATGGATAGCTTGACTTGTTGCACTGAATAGGATTGTTCAGTATTTGACGGCAATGATTCACTAGTATTTGTTGATTTGGCAAGGAGGGCCTTTGATCTTGCTAAAAGTTCATAGTATAAGTCTTCGAATGACTCCCACCCTAAGTTGTGATCACTAACGGAGTCTGTTAGTTCTATTTCTGATTGTACTAAATCGAACTCCGATAACGAATCCCTAAATACAGCTATTCTATCTTCTAGCTGGGGAAAATCTTGTGTCTGACTGATTTGTTCAAGGAAAGATTGAAATCTGGTCACTTTGGACTTGATAGTAGCTCTTTTGATGACTAACTTCCTCATTTCTTCAGCCATTGTAGCTTTTCTGAACAAAGTAAAATGAATGATGACTTACTATTGTGAAGATGGTGGTGGTAATCCAAAAATAGAGTAGAATAGAACACTTTTCACTACTTTCAATGTTCACTGCGACTGTTCACTAAAACCGTTCACTGCGACCGATAATGCGAATCCGGCTCGAAGGACCATGTTGTGGTACTATAATCCGGCTCGAAGGACCATGTTGCGGCGCGTGATGGTACGCCAATGTTATGGAAATAATAAAGAACCAACACTTTAAAAACGAACTATGAATTTATTGATGTGATGATATAAGTGGACTGTATAAATGATTAACTAAAATGCTATAACGATACTAATGCGAATGTACTAATGAAATACGTGGAGTGGTGGAGGGATCTGCCTCACACGTTCTATACTGAGATGTTCCAAAATTATCCTCATTGTTTACTTTTGAATTTGTATATAAGTTGAATGTTAATAAGCCATGTGTTATGTATCCAAATACCTAGGCCTACTATTAGCTAAATTAATACCTCTAAATTATCACATGTGTTTACATACAGTAGAAGGGCAAAAGGTTCCACCTATTGTAAATTTCCACATTTCACATTCTCATCAAACACTGTCATTTATTTAATAAGCTAAATTTATAATCACTGGAAGTTATTTATACAGTTTGAATTATTTTACAAAATTATTCTTCTCTTTCACTTTCAAAAATGTAATTAAAATACTCTTCATATAATACCAACCAATCATAAAAGTAACAGTGAATAGTGACATCAAGAAACCAGTGAACTAATTGTTAAAACAGATGTATGAAATTGAACATCAAGAATCAAGATTTTTTCAATTGAAAATAAGTAATGAAGAAGCAAGACAGGAAGATGATTTAAAAATTTTAATTGGTGATTTAACTTTACAGTATTTAAAATATCAAGATTTTTCTCAATTATTTAATACATATCATTTCTACCTCAAGAAATATATTTGTGGAGAAGACTACTATAAACTTTTGGGTGAGATCAAACTGAAACTTGTACTTTGCTAAATACTCACATTCCAAAATTTCTATTGACTTTTGCCGTTTTGAACTTTAACCTAAATTATCATTTTACTAAATTCAAAATTCGAACTTTCTTCTTTTCAAAAGTGTAAATTGAACTGTACATAACTTGCGATGAACATTAGGCTTATGCCTATATAACATCACATAAGCCTACTTTAAGCCGGCACATTCCTAGAACCCTGAGATTAAGAGTTTCATCTAAATATAACCCTACTTATTTGTACAATTTGACTAATAAAAGGTTTATATGTATTCATCACCTTGGACATTGATTTATTATTTATTTACCAAATAAAAGATTAAAGAACTTTACAATACGAAAACTACGAAACGAACTTGACAATGCGATGCTAGTTGAGATAGCGACTGATAAGACACCTTCCTCACCCTCGATTGGGGTTACAACTTTCTAAAAGTGGTGAGGAAGGGCCCGTCCTTTCGCAGAAGGACGATGACTCTGTTGCCGGCGCTAAAAGCCGACAATTGCCTTAATGTTTACTACTTCACAACTCTAAGTTAAAACTACATATGAAATATATCATTTAGCTAATAATATAACGTAATGAAGCACAAAATCAGAAATATATACAATAACTCTCCTCAACAGCTACTATACAGAGGCTACTATCTGTATAGTAGCCTTGAATGCCATCGGCCTCTAAGAATGCCGGGCTAATAAACTGAAAGAGCCGGGTTCGAATCTCACTCGTGGTATTATTTTTTTGTCTTGGATTTTTCCATTATCAGCAAATTTGGTTAGGTTATGACGGTTTAATTTTATAATTAAAACATTATAAAATTGAATTTGAGCCATTTACAATTTTATTTTATGAACAGAACTATTTTTTCGATTAATAAACCTCCATTGGATATTTTCATTATCAGCACGTTTGGTTGGTTTGGTTAGGTTATGACAGTTTAATTTCATAATAAAAAATTATAAAATTGAATTTGAGGCATTTAATTTTATTTTATGAACAAAAATAATTTTTCAATTAGTAACACTTCATTATAGTCAATCAGAAGCCTCCAAAATGACACTGTTGGCAAAACGAATCCTGAATAACAAGTTGTGCGGTCGGGAGTGTTTTAAGATAATTAAAAATGTTATTTTTTACTGTTAACATTAAAAATAATGATAATTTAGTAAATATTCAAATACAAATATTTAAGAAGACAAACGTACAACCATGTAATAATAATTGACAATTGATTAAAAACTATTTAGTAGCTATTTTGACTCTTACGTGGTAGTGACAGGCGCCAATTCCCTCCATCAAACAAGTCCCTGTGGCGCAGAGGATAGCGCGTTGGACTTCTAATCCAAAGGTCGTGGGTTCGATCCCCACCAGGGATGGGAAAATTTTGCCTTACTGTATAGACCGATATCAAATCTAGAAGACCTTTGAAGACCTCTAAGATAAATACGGCATATTTTTATGATATCAAGTTCATTTAAATCATGTTATATTACTAATCTACAATTATTTTTTTTAGAAATTTATGATTATGACATTTATTGGCATAACATATAAAAATTAAATGTATAAGTATTTTTTCCACTCTTATTATGCTACTGTATTTTTAATATATCATTTCATTCCATTGGTTTATTACAAAGACCCACTTTGCACTTTGTGTGTTTCCACTACTTTGTAAAGTAAAAAATATGTTAAATATTCTTTTTTTACAAATTTATTGTTTTTTTACATTTAATGTTGTAAATAATTTTGTAGGATATGTACAGTATATATGTTTAGATTTGTATCCATTAGGTTAAGTGTATGAGAGGGACTTATGGCCATAACTTTGCCTGTATAAAATAAACCATTTTCATTTCATTTCAGATTATATTTTAAATTTTACAATACTGCAAGTCTGAATGACAGGTAGATGATTTTTTCTGCTTGTGAATACGAATACTGTACTATAATACACAAAAATCATACTGTCACTCATACAGTTCTCAGGTTTGCCTATAGCGTGTTCCCTCCAATAAAATAAAACATGCTTAATCAAATAAGAATTTCAAGTACTTTTTATAAAAAAAATCAAATAATTTTATATTCTGCGATTTTATAGCACCTGTTACTTTTCCAAATCCCAGATAGATAATTGATATCCAGGATATGATATCCTCTTTTTGTCAATACAGGCCAGGTTGTCCAGAATAAAATATAAACATTTATACTATAGAAATAGAAATAACATGAACAAAATATATTTTTATCCACTCTGAGGAAAACGAGACGACTCAAGTTTCATCCAAATAATGAATTTTGTACATTGCGCTTGCACCCCTGAGTGACCAAGAAGGAATAATATTGCACCCGATGAATAAAAATGTCTTGACTTTACTTCGTCCCCCTTATACTGGGTGGGAAAATGTCCCGGGACGGTTCAGTATTTTAAAAAATAATCAAGATAGAGCTAAAAACTTGGAACAAAGTTACCAGGCATTAAACTCATTTTAACACGTTATTTAGTAATACAGTACCCCCGGGGGACGTCTCACCCATGGTTATGAACCATTTATCTCTTAGGGCTTGCTAGGAGTCAGAAGAAAATTTCAAATGTAAGCATAGCACATGTAGAAAGAAATCTTTGACTGGCTGTCTGTGTAAGTTAAAATTTGCGGCATTCTATCATAGATAAAACGGTTAGTCTATGATTCTATTCTATTACAGTAGTAAATATAATGTCTTTGATTTGATACACATACCAACCTATGCTTATAATTCAGACCTTTCTTTGTTTTAAATCTGGACAAACCTTCAAACTATTCTCAGCAGCTCCATACAAACCATTATGAACATATTAATCCATTTCAGATTTTTGAACAGGATGAGTAGGCCTACCTGCGGGACTGCCCGACTCAAAGCACGGCCTCCTTAGCCCGTGCTCAATGTCTATACTTTAATCTATGGCTCTAGTAATCTTGATCTTAACTTTTTTCAAACTTTACTACACTTCTTTCCGTCAACTTTTTTCTTGGATCGAAAGAATAGTTGGATTGAAAAAGGCGGGACGGCGGAACTTCGTCAATGTCAAGTCTACTCTACAAACAAATAAATACAAAATACAATACACAGATCACTAGATCAGACATGACCTGACGTCTCGGTCTGACACATTTTAGCCTTCCCTTAGCCTCCTTTCAGTTTCAGATTCAACAGGTATTTCTATTAGACATTTTAGTTACTTAGGTTTTTATTTTGTTGTTGTTATAAAGGAACAGGGAATACCTGCGTTTATGTGTCTAGAAGATCTTAACCTGTGAAAACATTACAAAGGAATATTAAGATAACTTATTTTGTTAGTAAGGTTATGCTGAATACTGTAAGTTTACAATTTTGTTGTAAAATATTTCACTTTTATTAAAATTAGCCTATGTGTGGGGACCTACTGCATCATTGGAAAATTGATGTTATTAAAAATCACATAGTTGGCCCTAACATTTACTTAGGCTTACATGGGTTAAGAAGTCCAACCTTAAAATTAACTTAGTTTAAGGTACTGAACTAATTTATAAGCTTAGTGCATAAAATTATTATTTTGGTTCCACTACAATGCATTAACTGATTGTTCTCTTTGCTGGAGGCCTTAGCTTAGAGGCATTTTCTGGTAAAGTTACCATAAGTTATACCTTTTAAGAGATTTTTTACTGTCCTAGCCTGTGGCATTTTTAAAGGAGTCGTAAAGGAAATAGGGTACACTTCCATATCTGTTTGCACAAACAACCGAATGAGTAATATTGACTATTCGATTGTTTAGTTCGATATATCGTTTGGTTAGTTAGGTTAGGTTAACCTTACCTAACTAACGATCGATATTTTCAATCGGTTGTTTGTGCCAACAGATATGGAAGTGTACCCAGGAAATACATAAACACTGGTTTATTTCTAATTCAGGAATAGAAATCACATATCTCTGTTCAACAAACTCTATTTCAAAACCAGACCAATGTTTACAAAAATCATCTGACAATTAAACATATTCAAACACAATTAAATCATAAGACAAAAAGAACAGACTTAACATCCCGCCTCAAAATGTCCACATCTTTATGAAGCTCAGTACCGCCTCGGTTTCTTGATGGACCTTTCATAACGGGTAACTGTGCCAGCGCCTGGACAATCACTCAAAGTATAATTTTACAATTAGTTATGCCACTTTTTTTTCTACAAGGTTTAGGGAGCTGCCATTTTCCCAGAATATTTTCAAAACTTGCTTTATAAATTAGCCTATGCTAAGTCCAAAATTGACGGTGCATAGATGGGCGAGTAATAGATGAGTGAACAAAGTGAACGAATCTATGTATCGTGTATAGCGGAGTCGCATAAAAGTTGTCCGCTTGAGTGTGTGTGTGTTCGTTCGCACCAAAAACTCAAGAACCGTCGCACTTATAGCGTTCGAATTTTTCACAAATAATTATGACACCAGTGGGAAGACACCATTAAAATTCTAGACGATTCCGCTCAGTGTTAATTATAAAATACTTAAAACAACATTTTTAAATTTGTCCCATAAGAATAACATTAGTAGCTATCTTCTTCTTCTTTTTATTTGTTTAAGTTTTGCGCCTAACAATTTTGATGTCTACTTAAGACAGAGAGTACGACTTTTACTCAAAAGCTCTTTCATTCATGGAGTAAACAGTTTGGCGTCTATGAATATATATCATTATAATTTCACAGCTTTCAGAATAATGCTATTTAAGCTAATTAAATTTCACAACTTTCAGATTAATAAATTGAACTTAACAATATTAGTCGGCAGTTATACCGTTTATGTTCAGTATTAAAATTCACCTTTAAATTAAAGTATTTAGAAAAAAACAGCTTATTACATTATTCAATTTAATGTTGGCATTGAATATTAAATATTCAAAGATGTTGGTATATCTTTATACTAAAAAGCTATGCGAGGGGGGGGGGGACAGGTCCACGACGTAAAGGAAGCGGAAAGGTAAGCAGTGAAAAGAAAGGAGTACGGAAACCCTTTATGACTGTTAAATTAATGTATCTGTAATACTTAAATGCTATGGAAATACCGGTATAGGGAAACAGGTCTACGTTGTAGAAAGTAGTGAAGTAGTGAAGGAAGTAGTCAAGGCGAGCGCTGCGGAGTGTGAGAAGCCTTTGTGACAGTTAGAATAATGTATCTGCAATTCTAAAAATGCTATGGGAAGGGAGGGAAACAGGTCCACAACACGTAGGAAGTGGCGAAGGAAGTAGTCAAGGCTAGCCGTCCGGAGTGTAGAAACCCTTTGTGACAGTTAGATTAATGTAGGCCTACCGGTACCTGCAATGCTAAAATACTATATAGGAAGGGAGGGAAACAGGTCCACGACGTAGGAAGCGGTGAAGGAAGTAGTCAAGGCGAGCAGTCCGGAGTGTAGAAACCCTTTGTGACAGTTAGATTAATGTACCTGCAATACTAAAATACTATATAGGAAGGGAGGGAAACAGGCCCACGACGTAGGAAGCGGTGAAGGAAGTAGTCAAGGCGAGCAGTCCGGAGTGTAGAAACCCTTTGTGACAGTTAGATTAATGTACCTGCAATACTAAAATACTATAAGAAGGGAGGGAAACAGGTTCACGACGTAGGAAGCGGTGAAGGAAGTAGTCAAGGTGAACAGTCCAGAGTGTGGGAACTCTTTGTGACAGTTAGATTAATGTATCTGCAAAAATAACATTCTATAGGAAGGGAGGGAATCAGGTCCACGACGTAGGTAGTGGTGAAGGAAGTAGTCAAGGCAAGCAGTCCGGATTGTGGGAACCCTTTGTGGCAGTTAGATTAATGGACCTGCAATACTAAAATGCTATGGAAAGGGTCGGAAACAGGTCCATGGCGTAGTAAGTGGTGAAGGAAGTAGTCAAGGCGAGCAGTGCAGAATGTGGGAACCGTTGGTGGCAGTTAGATAAATGCATCTGCAATACCAAAAGGCTATGGGAAGGGAGGAAAACAGGTCCATGTTGTAGAAAGTGGGGAAGGATTTGGTAAATGCGAGAAGTTCTGAGTGTGGGAACAGTTTGTGGTAGTTAGGTTAATGTACATTCAATACTAAAATGCTGGGGGAAGGGAGGGAAACAGGTCCACGACGTAGGTAGTGGCGATGGAAGTGGTATAAATTCAAGCAGTGCGGAATGTGGGAACCATTGATGGCATTTAGATTCATTAGTTAGATGAACATTTATTGGGTTTTTAATCATTTTTAGATTATATAATAGCGCTACCGTTGATATAAATCATCATTGTAAGCAATACGATATTTTTTTGGAGATTCCTTACACTGTGTTTTGGCAATTTATTTAAGTTAGAATAGTTCAGTTTGGCTTTTGGCTTAGTTTTGTCTATGATAGGCCTCATAAAAAATATTCAAATAGGTTTTATTTAATCAGAAGACGTTTTGTACAGGAACGATGGATTTACCTCCTATCGATAACTGTTGGAAATCCATTACGTATATTACCAATGACTTTGGTTAATTAATGGACGAGAAGTTAGGATTGTTGTGGACTGAGATTTGGTTGATTTGCCCATACAAAAAACATTATTGTGTTCACCAGTGACACCGGTAAGTAGGCTAGGTGTGGGTGGACTCTTTCATTACTGCGCTCATGTTCACTCATCCCGTTACGCGCAGAATAAGCGTACTACTAGTATAAAATCAAACGTATAAACCTCTTTGTGGATCACCCTGTACCACATTTTATAAAAACATTGGGTTTTTAAATCTACACTAATTGGTATTGTGTTAATAGCCTACAAACCGTAAAAATTGTCCGTTTTTGATGGGATAGAAATAGTAATGTTGTTTAAATCGATGTTATTAATGTTTACGAGTAATTTAATACATCAGATTATAATTTTATTATTGTTAATATTGAACTAGGGCGTTCATTGAAGCTATTAGGATTGCAAAGGGTTGTGCGGGACCTGCTGGTTATGTCCCTGCAGGTCAGTTTGGGCTGCCTCAAGTTAAGGTGGCGAGGCCTATAGCCTAGGTAGCCTATTAAAGTTTGTAAAAATTGCTGTGTAACTTAAGCCTCATATTCTTTCATCTTTGCCTCATACTTTAGGATACCATGATTTTTCTCAACAGTTCTTAGGTTAATTAATTACATAATTTATACTACGTATTGGTTGGTATAAAATGTCATGTGTGGCATGTAAAACAGTGAAATAACGTTTTGGCTTACACAAAGAATGAGCTGATATAACTTATCACAATTCCAAATTTAGCCTATTAATCGATACAGTAGGGCCTACCAGTAAATAAAAATACTTTTGGTGGCACTAAAAGCTGTTATGTTTCTGTAAAAAATTGTAGCGTTCCATTTTTAAATATTTCTTTTTATTTGAAATTCTTCGAATACAATTTGGCCACTAATTATTATAAATAAAATAAAGAAGCTTATTGCAGTATTCAATTTACTGTATAAATAACTCATGACATTCTTAAATTACTAATCTTTAACAATCAATTATCAACACTTTTGTGTGAGGAGAAAATGGTAATTAAATTTGAAATGTTAGTCGTTTCGTAATCTTTCATTTACTAGTGATGGCTATATTATTAACTAGCACCAAATAATTATCGATGAGATAAAAATTGTACCTATTCTATCCCATATTTTTATATAGTTTTGATTTGTAATCCAGTAACGTTATTATGTTGTTGTCATGAACTAGACAATGCTTGTGTTGGTAAACATGAATAAGTTACATGTAATCTTTGTTCAAATCTTATTAATCGTGTAGTATCACTTTTAAATTCATAACATACACATTGCCAAAAGCTTTCAAACTTATGGTACTTGACAATGTTCTAGGAAGGTTAGTTGTTAAGTTTATCATATTGTAAATTGTAATGTATTCATTTTTGCTCACAAGATTTATGCAAGACTTAATAATCAGTTAATGTTTTTTTTTTCACGTAGTTAGTTTTGATTAATGAAAGATAAGCAATTCAAATTCTTGTAAATTTAGATTGGTTTATTCACTATGATGTTGACAAACCAGGATCTCTAGTTAAAACCCCAGAGGAGCAAATGAGTGATAAATTAAAAAAAGAAATATTTTACTGTATAAGATCTCATGTTTTGTGTTGTAGCATTGACTTTTGGATGCAATAAACATCCCACCTACATGGACTAGCTGTAGCCAATTATTAATTTTAATAAACTTAGTTGTTGAACCAGCCGTTCACAGAGTGTTAAAACTATATTATTTTCTCTTTTAGTTTTCAATATTTATGTGACTTAAGAGATACTATAGTTTATAGTAGGTTGTGTTTTCAGATTGGCTCTGTTAAAAAGTACATGTGAATATAGTGTACTAGCAGTTACCCCCAATTTTATAAACGGGCAGACTGGGCATATGCCCAGGGGCGCAGGTGGTTTCTGTGTATGGCTTCTAATGCTATTCTTATGGAGAACATTTTACGTTTAATCTAAATTTTAGCTAAAATTTTGGGAATTTCATTATTTTTCTTGTCGTCACGAGATAGAGATCTTTAATTTGAGCCCTCTCTCGTCGTCCTACAACATCCCTGTCGCCCACAATTTTGACACAAAGAATCGTCTTACGTAATTAATATAATATAGATGTACTAGACGAGACTCTCTCCTTGGTTCTTTTAAACAAAACTACTTTGAGGAATTATCTAGTATTTGTATAGCCCACATAACAAAAACCATTAATCAAAAGCCAACTTACCAATACCAGTTATATTTCATTAAAGACTTTCTCATTTTTCTCAAGCAGTGACTCAAAATGAAGGACATGAATGGAGGAGAGATCACAAAACATGATGAGGACCAGTACCTGGATCATATCAGACTTATCTTGGACCGTGGTGTCAAGAAGTGTGACCGCACTGGAGTGGGCACTCTCTCTGTGTTTGGTGCCCAGATGAGATACAACCTACGAGACGGTGAGTTGGACATATCATCTGACTTTTCTTGGATTATAGTGTCAAAAACTGTGACCGCACTGGAGTGGGCACTCTTTATGAGTTCGGAGCTCAGGTGAGATACAACCTACGAGACGGAAAGTTGTACTTATCAGATTTATCTTATGGAATGAAATTTATTAGTTTTAAGTATTTCACTTGTTTTAGCGAATTTCCCATATTGGGAATAAGTTATTACGGTAGGTCTTACCATTGTAGCCTACCATATTTATTATATGTGTCTGTTAACGGGATAACTTAAGCAAAAATCATCCGATTTTGATGCAATTCGGTACAAATGTGTAAACCTACTAACAAGTTAACGAACCATCTTGATCGGACTATGGGAGCGGGGTTTTTTTGAGAAAAAAAATGGGGTTTTCCTATTTTTAAACCCTAAAATCGTAAAATTTTGCAATTTATTTCCATAAACTATTTTGTAGAGCTTAAACACATATAATTTAGTATATCAAAGTGTTATTGGATAGTTCCTCATTTATAGATATAGATTTTGATCAGACTTGGCAAATTTATTTATTTTATAGCTATTAACATTTTACTGAAATATAGGCCTACTTTATTACTCTCCCTGTGTGGTTTCAAATCAAGCCTCTTTTGTGAGCTACTACTCTCCATTTGTATTGTAAATTAATTAATGCTTTCTGTCAAGATTTTTTGTTTCATGTTTAGTACTATTAAAGTTCTCTAAGTATGATTTTTCTTTTGTAAATTTCCGGCTTTAACCGGTTTTGTGAACTAATCTTTGTTCAGGTGGTTGTAGTTAATGTTTTATATATTCACATTCTTACCTGAGGGCAAGATCAGATTCCAGATCCCGAAATGTGAAAACTTTTTACTAATCGCGATTGAAAATATTTGCAATCATTCTTTAAATAACACTCACCATCACCAAAAATGAACTTCAAAGGACCTTTGATGCTCTTGCCTTCTTCAACTAACATCTAAATTAACTTATGTTTTTGGTTTTCAGGAGTGTTCCCTTTGCTGACCACCAAACGGGTGTTTTGGAGAGGAGTGGTGGAGGAACTGCTGTGGTTCATCAGGGGATCGACAAATGCCAAGGAACTGTCGGAGAAACAAGTTAAGATTTGGGACCCCAATAGCACTCGAGAATACTTGGATTCCATTGGTTTGACAGATCGAGTAGAAGGTAAGATATTATGAGTTGATGATTAGAGTTGACACGTTGGTTTTCTTAGCTCGCTCCGTGCAATCGTCGTACGTATTTACTTTGTATTTTGAATATTATAGTCTTTATTTTATTCCCATTGTCTTTTTATAAATTACTAAATTACCTGTAAATTTTCTTATTAGAGTGGCTGTGACCAGGGTTGTGCAAATTATTTGTATGATTGCAGGAGACCTAGGTCCGGTGTATGGGTTCCAGTGGCGACACTTCGGAGCTGAGTACAAGGATATGTTCTCAGACTACACAGGCCAAGGAGTTGACCAACTGAAGAATGTGATTGAGACGTTGAAAAACAACCCAGATGATCGGCGGATAATAATGTGTGCATGGAATCCGTTAGATCTGCCCAAGATGGCGCTACCTCCTTGCCACTGTCTGGCTCAGTTCTACGTAGCCAATGGGGAACTGAGCTGTCAGCTGTATCAGCGGTCGGCGGATATGGGGCTTGGCGTACCTTTCAACATCGCCAGCTACGCCCTTCTTACCTACATGATAGCACATGTCACTGGGCTCAAGGTATGTGCTCAAAATACCTTTGCCCTTTTAAAAGGGCAAACTTTAACTAGGATCTGATCATCTGTTTTTAGATACCTTTTGATTTTGAGTGACAAATTTGTTTGTTTATTTATATTGTGAATGTTGGCCACAGAGTCAATCAATGAAATAAAATCAAAACATCTTTATTCATCATCTGTACATGAACCACACAAACAACAAAAATACCCACCAAGGCCAAGGAGGGTTTAGGTTTTTGGTGTCTTTGAATGGTACATTAAATAGTGACAAAATATATTACACTTAAAATATTTGTAATATAAACTTAAAAATATAGCCTAATCAAACAAAATTAATAATAACAATCTCGAAATACCGAACAAAACTTAAGTTAAACAGACAATGGTTAGTTTTAAGCATATCTGCACTAAATAGACTAAATTAAATTAACTAAATTAACGTTGTTAGAAGCACCTTTATAAAAATCTTCATGGGTGTAAATAGCCCTTTCAATCAAGAAACTTTTTAATTTATGTTTAAAGGAATTCAAATTGTTGTTATTTTTAATATAACTTGGTACGTATTTCAAAATTTTAATCCATTATAGGTTGTTTTTTATTTTTTTTTTACTGATGCCGATCAGTCTGGATTTAATTCCCACTTCTTGTCCCCAAAGCAGAACAACGAGCGACGCTGCGACATTGTCGCGGACACGAAACGCCGAGAAACGCGGGCCTGCGGACACATTTACGGAGTCATAACGACGATCGCGCCGTGGCCGCGATTATTGGACCGACGATCGCACCGTGACCGCGAGTCATAACGACGATCGGGCTGTGACCGCGGAGTCATACCGACAGTCACGCCGTGACCGCGGAGTCATAACGACGATCGCGCCGTGACCGCGAGTCATGACGACGATCACACCGTGACCATGGAGTCATACCGACGATAACCCCGTGACCGCGGAGTCATACCGATGATCGCGCCGTGACCGTGGAGTCATACCGACGATCGCGCCGTGACCGCAGAGTCCTACCGACGATCGCGCCGAGACCGCGGAGTCATACCGACGATCATGCCGTGACCGCGAGTCATACCGACGATCGCGCCGTGACCGCGAGTCATGACGACGATCGCACCGTGACCGTGGAGTCATACCGACGATAACCCCGTGACCGCGGAGTCATACCGACGATCGCGCCGTGACCGTGGAGTCATACCGACGATAACCCCGTGACCGCGGAGTCATACCGACGATCGCGCCGTGACCGTGAGTTCTACAGACGATCACCCTGTGACCCGCGAGTCACAAGTTTCTATAGGTACCTGTAAATTATTGTTACCCATTTTTTGGTTTTTATAGATCAGTGCCACAAATGGTAAAAATTGATTTCGTATGTCTTTTTTGGTAACTGCAATACAGTACTTTTTTTATGCACAGAAAAAAATCCTGTCCCATCCCGTCCCAAAAATCGGGAAGGAAATAAAAATCCCGTCCCGTCCCGTCCCGAACTAAAATTTCAATCCCGTCCATCCCTAGTGTGTTTATATAAAGAAACTATAGTACATTTAAAGTTTTACTTCTGAAGACCTTGTTAACACTTGTTAAGGTATGTGTATATATATATACGTATTTAAAAAAAAGTAAATTTAAATAACCTGATTATGCCTACCCCTTAATAGTTTTTTAGTTTTTTGTTTTGAAAGTAGGCTATACAAGTTATTGAAATTTACTTATTTTATTTAACTATATTACTAGTAGCCCTAAAGAGTGAATATATATATATATATACCGGTATATAAGTCATTATTTAGCTTTTTAGTTTTAGCGCTTGCGGACACATTTTGAGGTTTTCACAGGCCGTTGCAGACACGTAGGAACCATTCTGCTTTGGGGCTTCTTGTATTGTAAGAGTGTGTTTGATTGTTTAAAGTAACTTTTTGAGGATTAGGTTTTACGTAGATGATTGAATCAAAAATAAACTGCCTATAAACTATTAAAATGTTTAGGCCTTTGAAGTGTACTTTAACAGATTAATCTTTTTTCAAATTCAAAATCGTTTGTGATAGCTTTTTTTTTTGCTTTTTAAAATCATATATAAAGAAGTTTTGTTTGCAGAACCATAGATGCATGCATATACTGAATGATATGTGTGAATGGATGAGTGAAAAGTAAATTACCCTTAAAGTGTCAGTATCACAACAGCCTCACATTTTTGAAAGAGCATGCGTCCCTGGATTAATTTTGGAAAGAACTCGTTGTATGTGTTGATCCCAACTCAGGGTTTCATCAACCTTCAATCCAAGAAAATTTGTAGTATTTTTTCTTTCAATAACTTGACCCTCACAGACCAACTCAGGTAATGCTTGAATTTATTTTGAGGTGTTCTAAAGTAGTAAAAAATTGTTTTATTGATGTTCAATTTTTGTCACCTAAACCTTTTTACGCCACTTTGCATTTGGCTTGCACTAGTAAAGTAAAACAGTTCACACTATTTAATCTAGTTTGATGTTTTGTTGACAGCCAGGAGAGTTTGTGCACACGCTGGGAGACAGCCACGTCTACTTAAACCACCAAAACGCACTACGTGTACAGCTGACTCGTACCCCTCGCCCCTTCCCCTCACTGACCATCCGACGAAAGGTCAACAACATTGAGAAGTTCACTTACCAAGACTTTCTGCTAGACAACTACAACCCACACCCGAAAATTGAAATGGAAATGGCTGTCTAGTGTTTAAATCATTGTACTACTTGAAATTTGACAGAGGCCTTACATTAGTGGCCTGACAAAGTATGACATAAACAATTAAACTTAAGGTACGTTTAACTACAAATTTTGACATAATTGAAATTGAGGTTTTTAAAATTTAATTGAGGTAGGCCTACTCATTTTCATACATAACAAGATTTTGTCTAGTGAATTATTTAAGTGTTTTAATTTTATGTATGACTTGTGACATGAGACAGTCATGTATATACAGTACTAATTTTGGACTGTGAGAATAAAAATATAACTTAAAATATTTATTATTTACAACACTATTTAACAACTTACTTTAGCATTAAGTATTCCAAGGGTGCATAGCAAGTTCCCTTTTTACATATTATTCTTATTAAATAATCCTGGAAAAGATTTCACTAAATATCTCTTGTGATTTTAGCATTTTTGTCAAAACCACTAACATATTTAAAACTATTTTTATTACAAAGGCTGTGACAATAACAAATTTTTGCTCTTTCAGTAGCATTGTTTGCTTTATATGAGTCTTGTTGACCGTCGAGTTACGTAAAGTTGTTTTGTAAACCAAAATAGTTTTATCGATATGTGTGTTTTTAAAGTTTGAGATTTGTGATTTTATCTGTATTATAAGTGTGTTTTTAAGCTACTTAAAAACTACTCTTTAAGGAAGAATTTTTAATAAAAATATAAACATTACACACAGTGTTTATTCCTCCTTTATTCAACACAGTGATTAGCGTTTTGAAAATAACATTTAACCACAAGCTATTAAATGACATATCGGCACGTGTTAAACACATCAAAAAGATGTTGGTACATGATACAATTACTGGTACATGCATGTTCAAATATTTGATTATGTATCATAGAAAGGACTTTTGTCTTTTTTAAGCCTCGTGCACGTAAGATTATTATTGATGTTGCATGGCTTCAGTTAGCCAAAAGGAAAAATTCAGAGTTTTCAAAATGCTAAGGTAATCATTGTATCAGTCAACTTACACCACATATACATGACTTATTACGTGTAATTTCCTAATTCAACCACTATTATTTTAGATAATATTATACTTGAACTTTGAATGGCAATTTGAAATTAACAGATAAAATCCTCTGCTTCCATAAATGGAATATTCCACTTTCTTCTAGTAACATGTCAGCTTTCAAGGACTGTTCTGACCGAAATTAACCAGGACGAAGAAAAATCATCTTTAAATGAAAAGCCGGTCTCAGCAGCGAAGCCACTCAACAGTGGTTTACAAATTATCATCCACTTTCTCCTGGGAAAAAATTATCATGAATGAAAGCTAAGAAGCTAATTGGGGATCTTTATAGTTTACCTATACTCCTTTGATTATGCTTCTTTGCATTTGGTCTCTTGATGATATATAATTCACATACCCGGTGAAGCTATAACTCTCACAACCAGTGGAGCTATAAATCTCATAACCGGTTGACCTATAAATCTCACAACCAGTGCAGCTATAAATCTCACAACCAGATGAGCTATAAATCTCACAACCGGTGGACCTATAACTCTCACAACCAGTGGAGCTATAAATTTCACAACCGGTGGACCTATAAATCTCAAACCAGTGGAGCTATAAATCTCACAACCAGTGGAGCTATAAATTTCACAACCAGTGGAGCTATAAATCTCACAACCAGTAGAGCTATAAATTTCACAACCAGTGGAGCTATAAATCTCACAACCAGTGGAGCTATAAATCTCACAACCAGTGGAGCTATAACTCTCACAACCAGTGGAGCTATAAATCTCACAACCAGTGAAGCTATAGATCACACAACCAGTGGAGCTATAAATCTCACAACCAGTGCAGCTATAAATTTCACAACCGGTGGAGCTATAAATCTCACAACCAGAGGAGCTATAAATCTCAAAACCGGTGGACCTATAAATCTCACAACCAGTGGAGCTATAAATTTCACAATCTGTGGACCTATAAATCTCACAACGGGTGGAGCTATAAATTTCACAACCAGTGGAGCTATAAATCTCACAACCAGTGGAGCTATAAATATCACAACCAGTGGAGCTATAAATCTCACAACCGGTGGAGCTATAAATATCACAACCAGTGGAGCTATAAATCTCACAAACGGTGGAGCTATAAATCTCACAAACAGTGGAGCTATAAATCTCACAACCAGTGGAGCTTTAAATCTCACAACCGGTGGAGCCATAAATCTCACAACCCGTGGAGCTATAACTCTCACAACCAGTGGAGCTATAAATCTCACAACCAGTGAAGCTATAGATCACACAACCAGTGGAGCTATAAATCTCACAACCAGTGCAGCTATAAATTTCACAACCGGTGGAGCTATAAATCTCACAACCAGAGGAGCTATAAATCTCAAAACCGGTGGACCTATAAATCTCACAACCAGAGGAGCTATAAGTCTCACAACCGGTGGACCTATAAATCTCACAACCAGTGGAGCTATAAATTTCACAATCGGTGGACCTATAAATCTCACAACCGGTGGAGCTATAAATCTCACAAACGGTGGAGCTATAAATCTCGCAACCGGTAGAGCTATAAATCTCACAACCGGTGGAGCTATAAATCTCACAACCGGTGGAGCTATAAATCTCACAACCGGTGGAGCTATAAATCTCACAACCTGTGGAGCTATAAATCTTATAACCAGTGCAGCTATAAATCTCACAACCAGTGGACCTATAAATCTCACAACCAGTGGAGCTATAAATCTCACAACCGGTGGAGCTATAAATCTTATAACCAGTGCAGCTATAACTCTCACAACCAGTGGAGCTATAAATCTCACAACTATCAGTGGAGCTATAAATCTCACAACCAGTGGAGCTATAAATCTCACAACCGGTGGAGCTATAAATCTCACAAACAATGGAGCTATAAATCTCACAACCAGAGGAGCTATAAATCTCAAAACCGGTGGACCTATAAATCTCACAACCAGAGGAGCTATAAGTCTCACAACCGGTGGACCTATAAATCTCACAACCAGTGGAGCTATAAATTTCACAATCGGTGGACCTATAAATCTCACAACCGGTGGAGCTATAAATTTCACAACCAGTGGAGCTATAAATCTCACAACCAGTGGAGCTATAAATATCACAACCAGTGGAGCTATAAATCTCACAACCGGTGGAGCTATAAATATCACAACCAGTGGAGCTATAAATCTCACAACCGATGGATCTATAAATCTCACAAACAGTGGAGCTATAAATCACGCAACCGGTAGAGCTATAAATCTCACAACCGGTGGAGCTATCAATCTCACAACCGGTGGAGCTATAAATCTCACAACCGGTGGACCTATAAATCTCACAACCAGAGGAGCTATAAGTCTCACAACCGGTGGACCTATAAATCTCACAACCAGTGGAGCTATAAATTTCACAACCGGTGGAGCTATAAATCTCAAACCAGTGGAGCTATAAATCTCACAACCGGTGGAGCTATAAATCTCACAACCGGTGGAGCTATAAATCTTATAACCAGTGCAGCTATAAATCTCACAACCAGTGGACCTATAAATCTCACAACCAGTGGAGCTATAAATCTCACAACCGGTGGAGCTATAAATCTTATAACCAGTGCAGCTATAACTCTCACAACCAGTGGAGCTATAAATCTCACAACTATCAGTGGAGCTATAAATCTCACAACCAGTGGAGCTATAAATCTCACAACCGGTGCAGCTATAAATCTCACAACCGGTGGAGCTATAAATCTCACAAACAGTGGAGCTATAAATCTCACAACCAGAGGAGCTATAAATCTCAAAACCGGTGGACCTATAAATCTCACAACCAGAGGAGCTATAAGTCTCACAACCGGTGGACCTATAAATCTCACAACCAGTGGAGCTATAAATTTCACAATCGGTGGACCTATAAATCTCACAACCGGTGGAGCTATAAATATCACAACCAGTGGAGCTATAAATCTCACAACCGGTGGAGCTATAAATATCACAACCAGTGGAGCTATAAATCTCACAACCGGTGGAGCTATAAATCTCACAAACAGTGGAGCTATAAATCACGCAACCGGTAGAGCTATAAATCTCACAACCGGTGGAGCTATAAATCTCACAACCAGTGGAGCTATAAATCTCACAACCGGTGGAGCTATAAATCTCACAACCGGTGGAGCTATAAATCTCACAACTGGTGGAGCTATAAATCTCAAACCAGTGGAGCTATAAATCTCACAACCGGTGGAGCTATAAATCTCACAACCGGTGGAGCTATAAATCTTATAACCAGTGCAGCCATAAATCTCACAACCAGTGGACCTATAAATCTCACAACCAGTGGAGCTATAAATCTCACAACCGGTGGAGCTATAAATCTTATAACCAGTGCAGCTATAACTCTCACAACCAGTGGAGCTATAAATCTCACAACTATCAGTGGAGCTATAAATCTCACAACCAGTGGAGCTATAAATCTCACAACCGGTGCAGCTATAAATCTCACAACCGGTGGAGCTATAAATCTCACAAACAGTGGAGCTATAAATCTCACAACCGGTGGAGCTATAAATCTCACAACCGGTGGAGCTATAAATCTTATAACCAGTGCAGCTATAAATCTCACAACCAGTGGACCTATAAATCTCACAACCAGTGGAGCTATAAATCTCACAACCGGTGGAGCTATAAATATCACAACCAGTGGAGCTATAAATCTCACAACCGGTGGAGCTATAAATATCACAACCAGTGGAGCTATAAATCTCACAACCGGTGGAGCTATAAATCTCACAAACAGTGGAGCTTTAAATCACGCAACCGGTAGAGCTATAAATCTCACAACCGGTGGAGCTATAAATCTCACAACCAGTGGAGCTATAAATCTCACAACCGGTGGAGCTATAAATCTCACAACCGGTGGAGCTATAAATCTCACAACTGGTGGAGCTATAAATCTCAAACCAGTGGAGCTATAAATCTCACAACCGGTGGAGCTATAAATCTCACAACCGGTGGAGCTATAAATCTTATAACCAGTGCAGCCATAAATCTCACAACCAGTGCAGCTATAACTCTCACAACCAGTGGAGCTATAAATCTCACAACCGGTGGAGCTATAACTCTCACAACCGGTGGAGCTATAAATCTTATAACCAGTGCAGCTATAAATCTCACAACCAGTGGACCTATAAATCTCACAACCAGTGGAGCTATAAATCTCACAACTGGTGGAGCCATAAATCTCACAACCGGTGCAGCTATAAATCTCACAACGATGGAGTATAAATCTCACAACCAGTGGAGCTATAACCAGTGCAGCTATAACTCTCACAACCAGTGGAGCTATAAATCTTACAACCGGTGGACCTATAAATCTCACAACTGGTGGAGCTGTAAATCTCACAACTGGTGGAGCTATAATTCTCACAACCGGTGGAACTATAAATCTCACAACCGTTGGACCTATAAATCACACAACCGGTGGAGCTGAAAATCTCACAACCGGTGGAGCTGTAAATCTCACAACTGGTGGAGCTATAATCTCACAACCGGTGGAGCTATAAATCTCACAACCGGTGGTCCTATAAATCTCACAACCGGTGGAGCTTCCACAACTGGTTTGGATTCCACTATAAACTGTAGGTCCCTTAGTTGCCATTATCTCTTTGGGCTACTAATTAACAGCTGTGTTTTAGGAACATGTCGGCCTTAGTCACTAACAAGACTACAAGATGCGCCACTCATCCTACACTCATCTCCATTCATACTTGGCTTAAAATACCTACTGTGTATGGTCACCATATCATTGAAAAGTGTTAACACGATGACTGCTGAAAACAATGTACAGGCATTCCCCAGTGGCGGGCGAAGCCCCGGCACGCAACCGAATCAGCGAACGCAATTGGCATTCAAATATTTCAGTCTGACGAATCACAAAAGAGCAGTGGTGACTGTGCTGCGTTACCCCAAGAGTGGATGTAGTTCACTGAAACACCCAAAGGTAGCAGCACTGCACGGATCCGTATCCAGTGTCTTTGTAATATGGGTTGAAGAGAAAAAATCCCCGACACCGGGACAAAAGCATTGCCAGACAGGATTTTACGGGAAATTTTAGTACCAACCTACACCAAAGTAAAGCTCGCATTCTAAGGCCAGGGAGACACTTACCGGCAAAACCGCCGGACGCCGGATCCGGCGGCGCCAGAGCAAGTTGAGATACACAGGAAGGCATGGGGCAGGCCACACTTCTCCGGTTCGGCAAATCTGCCGATCCGGCGGCAAAATGCTCCGGCGAAACCGCCGGATATTCGCTACCTCGCCGGATCGGCGGTTTCGCCGGAGCAGTGGGTAGCGGGGCATTGTGCCTTATGGAGATGAACACACTTACCGGCGAAACATCCGGATTGCCACTGCCCCCACTCCAGTCGTGGTTCAAACCTCGAGGGTGGTTGTTTTTGATTTTATCGCGTTGCACAAGTGGTGTATTTAGTTTTGTTTAGCTATTTAGTTAATTTAGTTGTTATTTTTAGTCTGTCTAGTTTTCCATATCATGCACTATAATCTTCGATAGTAGCTCGTCGAGTGAGGGGACAGACATTCGAAAATAATTAAAAAACTTATTTTATTAATTTCTCAACTGTAAAAATAGAGTGTGAAAAGCTCCATGTATCTGTCTGATCTCCAGAGACTGTAAATCCTTAAGGGGAACAGTGCGCGAATACCATTCCCATGTTATTCTTACGGGAAAACATGTGATTAGATAGGTACATTTATTTACCTAACCCGCCATGTTAAACTTCCCTATCCTAAGCGTGATGTATACAACTTCCTTACTTCTCGAGTGATGTAAAGTATCAAAAAACTCACTCGGTGATGTAATGAAACCCATTTAAATAACATTGAGTGGATAACTTAAAAAATATAACTCTATGGAGCCAACGACGTTTTACGCTAGAAATCAGCTGTGTGCTTGAATTTTATTGTTATGTTTTGAAGAATTTTCCTAACCTAGCTTTTGTTTGTAAATGAACCTTACTGTTATAAGATGAGTGAAATGGGTAATGAAAAATATTGTTCGTAACCTCCTGTATATTGTCGGGTCAGGTAAAATCTTGTACGTTACACGTTACGCAAGAGCGTGTTTACATCACTTAGGTAAATTATGCAACTCGCTTCGCTCGTTGCACAACTTTCACCTGCGTGATGTAAAAACGCTCTTACTACACTTGTAATGTAAATAGCTATTTTAAAACTGTTAGAGATATTGATTTAAATTTTTTTTTATTATATCCTTAGATTGTTTTCTATGATTTCATGCTATATAAACAAGAAATTGGGTCTAGTTTTTAAAATATAAAATAAAAAAATTACTAATTTTTATTGTGTGTTTTTTTTTAAATAATAAACCATTTATTTTTAATGTAAAATTAATGTTAACATTCTAAAAATGCAAGAAACTGTTCACCATGGTAACAGGAAGTATTGTGTCAAATTTGGGCTTGATGAGTTAAGTAGTTTTCTTTAGAATGGTACCTAAACTTATAAAAACTAACTTTCGGATATTCACATTTGAACCCTTGAAGGGCAGGCTCAGTAGAATCCAGAAGGGCCCCCTTTTCAAAAATCCGGGAAAATTGTTTTCATATACAATATTAGACTATGGGTACTCAAATTGTTCAGTTTTTTTTTCCAAAATGGAAATATGCTGTTTGATTTAAGATTAGACTATTACAAGCTTAGTAAATCAGGAAAAACCGGGAAAATGGGTAGTTTCCTTAATGTATCAATGCAGAATTAATGATTCCTTCTTATATAAAAAAATATCCAAAGTATTAAGTGTTAGCCTATATATTTTCTTAAACAGCACAAAATGCACAGTATTTAATCATCATTTATTAAAAATTTATTTTTTGGGCATTTTCGCACACTGCTTCCCTTAAATAGGATGCACCCAAACAGATCGGTGGTGTTTTCTCTTCCTTCTGTGGTGGATCAAACACAGCAAGGCCTTTTGAGGTCTTGACAGCACCATTTCTAAGAGTAAACTGTACTAGAACTGTACTAGTCTAAAATAAAACTGATTAAGAGTTCATTGCACTCTTATTTATTGCCGCCGGATCCGGCAAAATAGTTTTTGCCGGAACAAGTGTGTTCTGACCCTCAACCTCCGGTGGATCCGGCGTTCGGCGGTTTCGCCGGTAAGTGTGTCCCTGGCCTAAGCTGGGGCAGGCTGGCAACGATTATAACGTCTCCGTCTGAGGCTAAGCTCACGCTGACTCAATATATTTCTGTTGGTCTGGTGCCGACTTTTGTCGGCGCGCGCCACATTGAAGTGCTAGCGACGCCGACTAAAGTCGGTGTTAGCAGTCAACGTGTTAAAAGTATTAAAAGCTATAAATTCGTAGAATGGGAGCCAAGAGGGAGGTGCCACTTATCACTCTCATTGTCCTTTTTTTGACGAACATCCCCCAAACTTTGTACCAGTTATCGTCACAAGAAGAGCAAAGTATTCAGCAACAGGGTAACATTAAGCAGTTAAGGATTAGCGGTAGTAAACAATTGTTCCCCATAAAAAACTATCAGGAGTATTGAAAAATAATTTACTTACTATTATAATTCTGTCTTCCAAAAAATCAACTTAAGGTACTTTGAATTTTGTGATTTAGTTTTATATCATCAAATATGATTTTAAGTTTTAGGTGAGCCAGTCTATTCAAGAAGAAGTGTAAAACTTTAGTTTTAACTGTAGGCCTACTAGCGGCCGTCCAATGGTAATGTACAGACTTCTCTATTTTCACCCTCTATTTTCTTATGTTTGTAAATATAAAACATGTGATTGGAATTTCTTCCATTTGTTTAGATTTTTCTTTTTATATTTCGTTGTTATTTCGTCACCGGCATGGATACCCATAAGGCCCATGTTCATTTTTTTTAAATTTGAAATTCATTTTTGCGCTATTCTTTAGCCCTTTTTTAATTTATAAAGGGATTCTGAACATTACATGAAAATATATTTTTAACAGTATACGTAGATTTTCCATACGATGCACACAAGATGCTTGCCTATTAATATATAGATTAGAATTAGCCTCCAAAATATAAGTTATGCAATGAATGTTTTGAGATGATTAGTGATTTCAGTCTGTATCCTTCACTTATACTGAATTGCAAGGTCAGTAGTTAATCATTAAGTACAAGTTAATAGTTTTAAGTCTAAATTTGTTTACATT